GTGTATTTTCAGTTTCAGTTACATTGGTGACTCACAGATTCCACCAATATTCAACAAAAAAAGAGCTTGTATAAGAATCCAGAGGCAGAATGAATCTCTTGGACGCCATACAGCACAGAGCAAGCCTTATAGAGGGACCAGCCTGGAGGGTTTATTAAAAATATATATATATACACCCCATCTATGGACAAGGTTCCTTTATTTGCTCCGTTTCAATCTCAGCATTAACTGCACTTAATGTGACAGCTGTGGGTCACTGGACTCTGTCTTCAGGGTGCCAATCAAGACCTTAAGCTCGGGAATCAGACTAAAGGACAGGGGTGCTCGTCTGCTTCTGAGAGGCTTTTTAACGGGTGATGGCCGTATCGATTTTAGCCGTGGCGAGGAGCTCTGTCTGAATGGAGTGGGTCGGTGGCTCCCCGGTCACCCCCGAGTGATCAGAGGCCCGACAGAATGACCTAGCAGAGGTGCGGTGAACCTGCAAACATGCAGGGCAGGAGGGGAGCACATCACCAGAGATCCCTGTAATAGAAAAGAGGTTTAACCTTAATGTTGAAGCCAAAACCCTGTTAGGGGGGCAGTAATCCCTCCTGCTCAACTCTCATCTCAAGCGCTTTTCTAGCTGGAAAAGGCATGCGGCGTTGTGTTCAGGTTGCCGGCTCTCCAAGATGCATCGGTGTGCCACTAATCAAAGCGTGGGCCTGAAATCTACATCTTATTAACAGACGGACGTCACTTTCCAATTTATTATTCTTCTCATAGTTCAAAGCCTATAATGCGCGATGAAATAACAGCGAGCTGATGGTCAATGAGAACAATCAGAAATGCTAATGGCGTGGTAAACCTATACCACACAGATGTGTAGATCACCTCTCATCTGAAGTCATTTAAATAATTTTTACACACATGAACCTCTAAAAGGGCTGCGGCACTCGCGAAGGACGCTAATTGAAATGCTGAGAATTTCTTCCATATGAAATATGTCTACGGCAAGACAATGAGGAAATAATTAGCACAGAGGTAGAATCACAATGGCCATTTTAATCAACCCCTGCGCTAGCATTTCACCCTATTTATTCCAGTTTTGATTCCATGACCCACGGCTAAGTAATCACTTGAAAATTACTCCTCTGTTCTAATGGGCTCTTGCATAGGAGGAGCACGTGGTCTGAAAAAATTTGCATCTTGAATCAATCAACTCTTTCCGCCCAAACTGATCGAAAGAAAGGCATTCTTCAAAAGTGCATGCAGGTGAAATGCTCTCCTAGAAACATTGATTTGTTTTGGAGGATTAATAGCAAAGCCAAATCTTTAGTCAACAACAAATACTAGATTTAGTACCTAACGTAACATTACTACAAGTGAGATCAGAAAATTCCAGACATGACAGCATGATATGCATCCTAAATATGATTGACACCCAGGTTACTAATCAGTGATTAATCATTTCCAAATCTTTACATCATTACCTTGAAATTCATTCAGGCCAGAACAAGCTTTTCCATCATTCATCTGTGAGACTCACCACATCCCACACATTCGTAAAAATCTGTAATATGTCTCTGTTCTCTGTGATTGGACAGAGATGTCTTTATTGCGGTCCAATAGATCAGTACGCAATTAAAAGAAAAACCCGACACTGATAGCTCAAGCACAGTACGTTTAACCATCGTCCACTTTTATCTACCCATACAAGTCAATGGACAATGCTGAATAAGTGTGATTCATCTTTAGACAGTAAATTCTGCTATCAAATTAAAACTGAAATATGATAAAGCAAGATTAACTCGTGTAAAGTGGCCAGTCAAGTTGATTTTCTATCGATTTCCTGCTCTGGGTCCTAAATATCACATCACACTTCCCAATCCAATTAGCGCACTGCCTTACAGCCTTGCTCCATCCATAGCAGACCAGACAGATTTATACATGCTATAGTTTAGTTTCACATGCATTCTTGTGCAGATTTTCAGTCACTTATAATTATTTAAGAGTCAAAAACGAGCATGATAATGTGGAAAGTTATCTTATATGTACTAGAACTACAGTATCTACATAATAATTTAATTGTAAAATATCATACAAGCCTAACATTCATTGCCTTTAATGTATTTCTGTCCAATTTTGAAAGGAAGTTAAATCTATAAATGCCATTTTGATTTGGTGAGACAGATCACTGTACAGAGTTCAAATGACAGGAAATGGCATATTACTACAACCACTATTACCATGAAAAACATGAACTCATAACTTTTTCATAACTGTGGGAAAGGAAGCAGTGTAACAGCTTTAAAACAAAGTCACAAAGCATTAGATTCACCTCAGGTAAGTCATTCAGTATCCATTAGTGATGCTCAGTGTACTTGTACTGGACACATTAGCAGCAATTATTTTATCTCAAATAATATGTTAGCAGTCTTTCACACATGTTAATCTGGGAAAACAAAACAACGGATCCAACAGGAATGATTAAAGAGATGTAAACATCTCCCTCTACAAGCCATAAGCAGTTTTATCAGTAATTTAGCAGTAGTGAAACTGTTGGCATTAGAGGTAAAATTAGGGGGAACAATCATTGGAGCCTTGTAATTCCTGTGATTCAGAAAATGCTGAGAAATCATGGAAAAATTAAAATTATGTACAACAACGACACTCAACCTAGCAAAACGTTTAATAAAAACGTTTATTATAGGTTATACAGGTGTCCTAATTACATAATATACGTTTAAATAAATCTGTCAGGAAAACCAGTTACACTATGAAAGCTCCTGTACTGTGCAAATTACTATATCAATGAATTGAAGACACAACTTCCGGATTATGTTAAGATGTTAATGTAAATCTGCCTTATGAGGAATTTACACAAGATTTTTTTTGTGTTCGCCATGTGCCGATTATTACATATTCAAGAGTTCACACTTAAATAATGCTTTATAACTATGATAGCAGGTTTGGCATGCAGTCCCAAGGTTCCCACCAGGTCAGTGAGCATTAGGAGGGATACGAGTATTTCTCGAGAGCCCCGCAGTTAGATTTTTACCTTCACTTTGTTTATTATGGTGGTTCTAATTGATGTATGTATGCGTTAAGTGCTTGTGACTGTTAATACAATTCACTTATGTACATGTTTTTAGACTGTGAGTACCCAGGGAAAACCCACGCGAACATGGGAACTACAACATGCAAACATGCAAACTAGCAAAGTTTAATTAGAACTTGAACCATTGGCCCTCCTGCTGCAAGGTAGCAGTGCCAGCCACTGAGCCACCATGTCACCCAATCTTAGTATTGAGGAGGAGGGAGAAGGAAAGGATAGAGTTGGGGATTTTCAAAATGAAGATAGGGAATGATTAGGCAGGAAATTTATATAGTCATTTTGGAATGATCCATCAGACTATCTAACGATTAGCGATAAGGATCAGCTGTAGTCGATCATATCACATGCTCCTCTCAAAAGTAGTTTGTGAAACTTCACTAAAAACTGATAGTAACTGAAATAAATAGTTTGGTCTCTGATGTTATTTGCAAGCTATATAGTAAAGTGCAAGTCACTTTTGTCTTTTTTTCCTGAATAAATCTGTATTTAAAACAGAACTTGAAGACTGGCATACAATCTGTTCAGCAAACCACAATTTTATTTTTAGCTCTCCTCCCATTTTACCAAAAAAACACACTGAACCAAGAATTCAAAAACCAAATTATGCAGCAAACTGAGTTTAGCGTTACGCCCCTAATGTATTTATACACACACATAAAAGATTCAATTCTGGATTCTTGTCAATAAACTAGTTGATTGTAATTTCAGAAGAAAAAATCAGAAGAAAAATTGGAAGAAAGTAAGAAATATGCTATTTTTCTTGCACTAAACAGCATTCTTGCACAGTCCAGCAGGTTTTCACAGAGCAGTACTTTGGGAAGTGGGTGTGTCAGGACTTTCCCCCTTTCAAACAACAAGTGGTGAGAATTTTCCAATCACATCCTTTGTCTTGAATCTTTGTTTCCCTAATTATTTCCAACCGACCCAGTGATGAGTGAGAATTTCCATCACTTCACATGCATTTGAGCACATTCGCATTAAACAATGCCGTGAGTTAGTTAGTTCAACAACTGTGCTGATCCACCCTTGATCTCGCATGCAGAGCAACAAACTTCAAGATGTTATCAAGCTCCACATTTTAAGAGTACACAAACCTGTATGAGCAGAACAAGAAAAGGTCTCTATGATGCAACAGCATGCTCAACCAGGTAACAGAGCTCCTATTTCAGTGCATTCAAGCTCTCAGCCGGGATTTCCAGATTCAGGCCAACCAAGGCCAAACCACAATGGGATATCCTTGCTCACTAAGCTTTCGAGACTTTGGCTGGAGAACAACTGGAAGAACTTTACTGCAATCGCAAGTCAGTGGTTCAAATTCAATACAATTTATTTTAATCAACACTTAAACTAATGTCAGCACCTATAGCATGATCTTAACAATGAAAATAAGTGCTTACGCTGAGATTATGCATTATCATCATGTCAAATCAAAGCTACTCCTAAAGGCAAAGATTAACTGTAAATACTGAAATCAATTATCGTGGTAGTAAATGTTTTAAAATCACATCAGTGTTTTCCAGATGTAAGCTTCAGTGGTGTATTACTGTAGAAAACGCTGACAAAGGTTGATGTGTCAGCCGATAATGCAAATGAGATTGAATCGCAAATTCTTTGAAGTATATAGAGAAAGAAAGAAATTCTTTTATGTGGAGTCATATCATTTACACATCACTGACTGATTTAAAAGTGACTTTCTAATTCAATAAAACAGCAAAGAGGTTTTTCCATGAAGACATACTGTAGCATCTGCTGCATTGGTTATAAGAACTCAAAGCAATGAATCATTCTCATTCAAGCGAAGATGAAACTTGTGGTCACAAATATGCATAAACAAGAGCTACTGGAGCTCAGCCAATGATGTCAAGCATGTTCAGATTACAAATACCGCTCATTTGTCAACACTCACTTCTAACGAGATCATCACGGGTGTGGTTTTCGCTGATCATGTGATCCTGTTTGTTTGTAGTCGGATCTCCGGGTACAGCGGTTTGGGATGTTTCCGTTGCATCTACGGATTCATCAGCGCAGCGGTTGCATTTATCTGGACAAAAATAAAAAATATATATAATAATATAACAGAAGCAAACACAAGTCATGCTTTAAATGCTCTTCACGGCTGCCAAAACGTTACAAAAGGCCAATGCTGAGGTTCATATTGGCTCTCCTCAGAAACAGGAATAGAAAGACGAGCACTAATTTGCCAGATATAACAGATTCCTTTGGTGAACGGTTGCAAAACTGTGTGGGCGGACCAGGTAGGCACGGGCCAGAACTCTGGATCTCATTTTCTCGATTGTGCTCCCGGGTACATGATACCTGCCAAGGTTTTTACAGCTATAAAGAGCACATTCATCTAAATTGGAAAATGGATGTGGGCAAAAGCAGCCTGATAGGCATACAAAAAGATAGGCAACCTTTAAACACTGCACTTAAACTTATTCAGCTCCAATTCCACAGCGCAAACTAGACGCTATTGCTTTTTCAATGCGACTATAGAGGCGGAAAGCAACCGCTTATTTATTTAGCATTGTCGAAGCAATCCTGTTACACAAACCTTTGCTTTTCCATCACTCAACTGAATGCTGGGAATAAAGCATGTGACTCAGCAAACAGAAGCAGTGTTTTTGTTGAGCCTGGAGTGTTTGGTTTATTTCTCTCTCTCTCTTTTCTCCTTTCTACAGCCCTCGTTACAGCGCATTATGGGACAAGATCAATACTATACAGTAGCTGTAGATACAGAGATTGATATCGCTTCATCTGGACTTGAGGCTGATGAATGGAAACCCTTTATTTCAGCCATGACTCTTCAAATGCACATACAGTACCGGCAGCCTTGTGATGCATCGCTGTATTTAGTGATTACAGTTTGAAATAAATTGCTCTATTCTCTGCGCATACACAGTCCCCGGGGAGGGAAACCCAGTCTTAACGGAGAGACTTTGAAGGCCCTACAAAAATCCATTTGTCACCAGAGCCTGTGATTGCTTACTTTGTCCTACTTTGCCATTTTTTGACAGTGCTATAATGATGCTTGGTATAAATAGGATGGTTAACGGTTCAGTGCTTAAGAAAAAAAAAAAAAAAAAAGACGAAGAAGAAGAAGAGGGGGGCTAAGCTTATTTTACATGCGATAATCTCACAAGCAACTAGAAAGTTAATTAAAAACTATAATTGGCAGTGGTTCCTGCTAATAGTTACCAAGGCGCTCCTTCAATCTTTATTGGAAAATAATGAAAACATTATCATGCCTACTGGCGCAACATACATATGGGGAATCTGTTTGCTAGTTGCTATTTATGCAAGTCTGTTACTGTTGGGTTCAGCAAGAACGGGACACCAAGTAAAATGAGACAAATACGTTTCACAATAGATCAGCTTTAAAAAGCAGGAGATAAATTTAATCTAATCATTAATCAATGGGTTTGTATAAAGAGTCAATGACGTAATGAGAATGTACAGTACATGCCATCCATGCTGCTGAGAGCAACGTTTAGATATGTAAATATGCAGGCTTTTATGTCAAAAACTAAATAATCAAAAATATGTAATATATGTAATTAAATAAGTAATAAAAATCATATTGTTGTGACTGTTTGCTTATATCATATTTACAATAAAGACTATAGATCTGGATGACACTTTGTATTGACATTTCTGTACAGAATAGCTCTGCCTGGATTACAGTATGTTGAACAAATGTATTATGCACACGTTTTATGTGTAATTTAGAGGACGAGATGCTTCTTTAGCGGGTTTTCATGAACAGCTTACGAAGTTGGAGATGCTATTTTCATTTACCTGAAACTTCCAACATGAACCTGCTCAAATATGAACCAAAAATATTATTAAATAACACAAAACCATTTTGCTGATTATCTGTCAAACAAGAGAAATTAAAATGAAGGGACTTATTGTGTTCAAAAACCTATAATTATCACACTGGAGCTATTTTAATATTTGTTTTAACACAAGGGGGACTGTCATGGCTCTACAAAAACAAAACAAAAGGTTTTACTTGCAGTCATTGCTTTACTATGCAAAATTAAACAGTTTGATTGCCAGTTTGCAAATGTACATCTATAATTAGCATGCTTAACTCTCCAAAATATACATCTGACACAATAAAATGTTAATTAACCAGAAAAATTACGATACCACGTCTCTCACCTGTTGATTTAGACAGAAGTGGGTTTGCCTCCTCTTCAAGCTGCTTTTTTGGCCCTTCAGGCCCCTCCGGAGGTAAAATAGCCTCCGAGGACATGAGCCAGATGTTTAGATACTAAACACACTCAAAAACAACAATTCCCCACGGCAATCAGCGATCAAACCTGCAAATAAATAACAAACTACTGTCAAATTAAACAACGACTTGCTGCGTCAAAAATAAACAAACAACTCCAATATTTCCTACAGAGTGACGTCATCAGGCGAAATGTCGTTAAACTTTCTGGAAAGTTTCGCTATGTGATTTTTCTCCTCAAAACGAAACCACAAACGCACTCATAAACGTCTTATTAACTTGTTAGGTCAACGATATTTGTTTGCCAAACATGTAAGTGATCGTTTAAAAGTTTGCTGATTACCTTTCAAACATGTCAACTCCCAAACGCGTTCTTTCTCATCATTTATTCAGGCAAAACGGCGTCCCGTTAGAAAAAAGGTTACCTCGGCTGCCTATTCGGGACAAAAAGTCCGTAAAAACAATGCGATCCCTCTTAAAAATAGTCCAAAATCACAGTCAGACAGAAGCTGAATAAGGAGTTTTCTGTGTGAGAGTCCCGCGCGCTCGAGCTGCTGCTGCTGGAGAAACTTTGAGCTGAAACATTTTCATCACATCCGGATTCCGATGATCATAACCAGCTGCATTCAGATGTTCCAGCTGAACGCGAACCGTGGAGTGAGACTGTTTACAAATCAGTCTGTGTGTCTGTCTCGCAGACATGCAGGTTTGTTTATCTAGCGATCTGAAGGAGGAACTCACTTTCACTTCACACTTCTTACAGTTCGTTTTAAGTTTGAAGCGTCTGAAATTTTGATTTAGCTATAAATATAAGAGAGGAGAAAAGAATAAATACATGAAGCTTTAACTTTGATCTTAAAAAGTCATCATCCCCGGCATTTGCCTGATATTAGGTTAAAAAAATAAGTAAACCATACAAAATTATAACAAACAAACAAATAAACAAAAAATGTGATGTAGCCTAACTAAAGAGAAAAAGAGAGGGGAAAAATAATAAAGCTTTTACTTTAATCTTTAAAAAAATCACCATCCCCTGCATTTGCCTGATATTAAGTTAAAAATAAGTAAATAATACAAAATTATAACAAAGAACCAAGTAAATAAACAAAATGTTGATGTAACTATAAATATAAAAGAGAAGAAAAAAAAAGCTTGATCTTAAAAAGTCATCATCCCGGGTGTTTGCCTGATATTTATTCAACAGTGTGTAAACACAATTATAATAAAATATATTTTTAAAATTTACTTTTGGGTCTTACTAGGTGAGCTATTTCTAACAATTCAGACAATTATGAAATTAATTCTTTATTCATGACAACAATTTAGATAAATGTAAATAAATGTTGTTGTTTTTGTTGTTTTAATTGCAAAATAAATTCACAAGATTTACTTACTAATCTATTTATTTATTAATATATGTATTTATTTATTTGTGTATTTTAATTTTTTTATTTATTATTCTAGTTAGTTATTTATGTTTATTTATCTATTTATTTATTTATTAATCTATTTATTTATTTATTTATTTATTATTTTGGTTAAATAGCATTTTTGTTTTATTTGTTGTGACTGAAAATCTGTGATGATATTTCACCAAATATTATTTATTAGACTATATTCCTATATCTAATATTTAGTGTATTAGAAAATACAATAACATATGGTCCACTTTTAAATTATGCATTGTGTTGTTTTAAACATTAAGTCAATGAGTTATTATTATTATTGTTATTATTGTTATTATTATTATTATTATTATTATTATTTGTTAATATTAATGTCAATGTTGATATTAATGCTATTATTATTATTATTATTATTATTATTATTAATAATAATAATAATAATAATAATAATAATAATAATAATAATAATGTAAACGTTAATATTAATGCTATCGTCATCATCATCATAATCATCATCATCATCATCATCATCATTATTATTATTATTATTATTATTATTATTATTATTATCATTATTAATATTATTACTATTATTATTATTATTATATGGGCTTGAAATGCATGCAAATACAATGCAATGCCATTGAAGAAAACTAGATCTGAAAAACTCATAGAAGCACACACATAGTTAAGGGGTCAAACTCTGCAAAGGATGATCCCTAAATTTATCACTGCATGTGCCCTTGAAGAAGGCACTTACCCTCAGTTTAGGAGTTTTCCATAAAAGTGAGAACAACAAATTTCCCTTGTGATTGCATCAGTTCTTACTCAGCCTTCAAAACCTTTAAACTCTGCGTTGTCTAAAATCTGCACGCATACATACACAAAGAGCCCTCATCTGATTCAGTCCATTCTGGCGGTGGCCTTGCTGGTGGATAAAGCCTATGAGCATGGAAGTGATTGATGTGAAATATGCCCTCCTCATTGACTGAGTGAACTCCATTTTCTGCTCCTAATACAGAAATCACTCCAGGTCTGTGGCATAATGATTTACGATGAATCTGTGTCAATGTTGAACTCACAAACCCCACCTAATCCATCTTGCGGAGACCCTCCTCGCTGCAGAGAAATGCTGCATTCTCCATTTATAAGTGTTGAATCTATTACCCCGCTGATTGGTAATAACTTTCGGCCTTTGCGCCCCTTAGACAGTAATTACTCGGATACTGATGCTCTTTGAGACCTGGCACTAAAGCTAAAACTCTGCATCAGCAGGGCTTAAAGCTGACCCACCTTGCTTTCAAAGTTATCACTTAAGAAGTTACAAGTATATTTAAGCAGTAGTTCGCCGGAAAATCAAAGTTCTGTCTGTTTTAGGCCTTAGGAGCATTTTGTGTGAGGTACAGATGTAAATTAAACTGTTATTCAATGACAATTATCCCCAAATCAAAGTCATATTGACTGATTTGATGAAGTCTGATTCTGAAAGGAGTAAATAATGGTAAAAGTGACCACAAAATTAGTAGTTTTTCTGAAAGTGAGATTTATACATCATTTGAAAGCTCGATAAACAAGCTTTTCATTGACTTATGGTTTAGGATAGAACAGTATTTGCATATACAGCGAATTGGAAAATCAGAACTATGAGGGTTTAACATTTTTGCATATTGAGAAAATCAATTTAAGCTGTTTAGAAATGCACATCGCTAAACAGAAATGAAGTTTTGATATTTGAAAACTTACAAAATATCTTGATCCGTAGGGACAATTTATCCAAAACTGAAATGTGTGTCAGTGTTTACTGTCACTTGACTTGTCACAAACCTATTGTATCCAAAAAGACAAATTCTTATAAAGTTTTCATCAAAAAAATCTTCATCAATGCAAAGCTGCTGGGACACAATGTACATTTTTAAAGTGCCAAAGAAATAAAGATCAATCGAATTGAATGAAGTTATAGATCCATTATTCTAGAGTAAATTATCTTTTTTGGGCAAACTATTCCTTGAAAATCCTAATGACTTTTGGCATAAAAACTATGCCATTCTTCATATATCCAGGGCCACAAATGTTATATTGCTTTAATATAGGATTTCTTCAAGTCAAATCTAAGACTTTAAAACTCTTTAGGAACATTATGAATGAGATTTTAGACTTGCAGGGCTAAACACTAAGGATTTATTTCTAATGGCTCAGTTACCTCTAGGTTCAATACAATTCAATTAATTTCAATTTATGATTATTTATATTTATTTAAAATAGAAGTTCTAGTAAAGTCCAAATGATTAATGGTTTAGGATAGAACAATATTTGCATATACAGCTAATGGGAAAATTAGAAATATGAGGGTTCATCATTTTTACATATTGAGAAAATCAATTTAGAAATGCACATTGCTAAATAGAAATCAAGTTCCGATATATTTATTGTAAAAATTTACAAAATATCTCGATGGGAAATGATCTGTAGGGATAGTTTATCCAAAACTGAAAATTGTGTCAGCGTTTATTGTCCCTTGACTTGTCTAAAGAAATAAAGATCAATCAAATTGAATGTAGTTATAGATCCATTATGGATTAATTTTCTTTTTTGGGTGAACTATTCTTTTAATATCATTATAACTTTTGGCATAAAAAAATTCAGCATATATCCAGGGCCAAAAATGTTATATTCCTTAAATACAGGGTTTCTGCAGGTTTCTTCAAGACAAATTGAAGATTTTAAAACCCTTTAGGACCATTATGAATGAGATTTTAGACTTGTAGGGCTAAACAATAATGATTGTTTTTTTCTAATGGCCCAGTTACTTCTATAACAAGTTTTGTATACAATTCAAAACAATTCATGTTTATTTCTATATCATTTTTACAACATAGATTGTGTTGAAGCCGCTTAACACAGAAGTTCTAGTAAAGTTCAGATGAATTATGGTTTATGATAGAACAATATTTGCATATACAGCTAAATGAATCAGTGTATTACTGGAAGATCATGTAAAGGGATGTGTTGCTTTAGTTTTCTTTCCATAATTAGGGAATTTAATTTTGAGAATTTGCAGTAAAAATGTCTAACAGCTGCTTTTGTATCTCTTTGCAATAAAAAATAAATAAATAAAATAAATAAATAAATAAATAAATAAAATTAAAAAAATATATATATATATATATATATATATATATATATATATATATATAAAGTTTTGACATGGATTATTGGTCATTGGGTGTTAGCTTTACTTATTCATAAGGACAATAAAGACCTGTTTAAAATGATTTTAGACCTACAACAGTATTTTAAAGAATTTAAGACTTTTTAAGGCTTACTTTTTTTTTAAATGCAAGACATTTTAAAAACTCCATGGACACCCTGTGATAAATGTAAAAAGAAATCCATTCCCATTTGAATATTTCATTGTGTTCCTTTCACACGGGACAGCGGCTCTCTGATTTCCTGTGTATTCCGCAGTGACGCCGCTGACAAACATTTATCTTGTGTTAAATCATGCGCTTCTGAGCCCGAGTAAGGAACTGAAGTCACAGAGAGTGCGTGAAGCCGTCATGTCGTGTCACTGTTGTGTCAGCAGAGCATCTGTCAGAGTCACATTTCAGAGGATAGGGGAAACGTCTCTATTGACTTCATCTGTTTGTGTGGCAGCATGCCTGATTGCTGAAACACTGCCAAATCACCCTGGGTAATCCCACCCGAACGCTGGGGTTCACAGTGCATGCATGCAGGAAAACCGGCTGTCACCACAACAACAACCGCTGACAAAAAGCCACATACCATGATTTAGTAAATATTTGAGGTATCACAGCAGGCGTGGATGAATTCAGCACAACAATCAAAGAAGAAAAATAAACTAGTGAAATTTTGAAGGAAGCTATACGATGATGACCCAATGGTCACTTAAAGAGATGGCTTACCCAAAAATGAAACTTCTGTCATCACACACTTGTCTTCCATATCATTTGTTTTTCCTACTATGGAAGTCAATGGTTACATCTTACGTGTTCAGCTGAAGAAAGAAACCCAAACAGTTTTGAATCATTTGAGGGCGAGGAAATAGTGAGTAAATTTTCATTATTTCAGGAAAACCGTTTGTCTCCACAACAACAATCAAAGACAAAAAGTCACATGTCGTGATTTGTTAAATATCTGAGGTATCACAGCAGGCGTGGATGCATT